CACGTTTATGTCTTTTTGAATTTTCTTTTCTTTTGGCATGTGGCTTGATTTTTCTTTTTGGATAAATTTCTTTTTTTTTTTCAATTATTTTTTAAATGTGATTATTATTATTACTAGAGCCAAAAAAATAAAAAATATAATACTATTTAATGAGTTATTCTATGATCAATTAATATATTACAACTATATATTTAAATTGTACAATAATACATTTTGTTGGCTGCACTTTTTTTTTTTTTTAGAAGAACACTTGGAACTTTTTTTTTTTCCTTTCCCGGGCACTTCTTGCTAATGTTTTAAAAACCAACCCGATACTCGACCCGTTTTGGACATCAAGTCTAGTTCAATCAATTGAACCGATTCAATCGATTGGTTTCAATCAGTCATATAAAAAATGACTTTTTAAGATTTTTAAAAAGTAAGAAATAAGACATAATGTTAAAACACATAGTAATTATATAAATATTAAACCACTAAACTCTATAATCTTTATTGTTAACATTTCAAAATTTTTAATTTATTCATAATTAAAAATTGAATGTAATAATTAGTAATTTTATAAAAATTAAATAAAAATTTTAATTTAAATCTTTTAATATCAAACCCGATTTCTATAAAAAATAAAAAGAAAATGAAAGAACAATATCATTAAATCAAATTTCATTTAATATTTAAACACCTAAAATTTTGAATCTTATCAAATCATTATCACTATTATTTATGATTTTATTAAATAAATAATTTAAAATCTTAGAAATAAAAGCTCAATTTAATTTAATAATATGATTCATAATTTGAGTTTAAAGGTATCTACTTTAATTTTGTTATTTTATTTGTAAAATTAAATAATTTATAAATTTTATTTTATAAAAATATTTTTCTAACATGTTCTTTTATATTTAATGTACCTTTTAATAATGAATTTTTATAAAAAAAAAGATTAATTTTAATTTATTAAGAATTTGTTTAGCTTGTCCCATAAGAGTGTAGGTTAAATTTCATTAAATGTAAAATTTTTAATTAATTTTACCCAAATTTTTGTATCAAATTCTTATATTTTTACAAAATTTGAATATAAATATTATATTATATTTCAATTTTACATTTTCTATTTTATTTTAATTAAATTTGATATAAAAATTTATATAAAATTAATTTAAAATACTATATTTAACAAAATTTTACGTATATCCTAAGAGCACATATTAGAAAATTTTATTTATTAAATATACAATTTAAATTATTAACATGATATTGATTTAGAAAATAATTAGTTATTAAAAATTACATAAATGTATTTTATTTTATTTTATTTTATTTTATTTTATTTTATTTAAATAAATAAAATTTTGTGTAAAAATAACAATAGTAGTATTCGTAGCCCAACGGTGAAAACTTCAAAATGTATATTGAGGGAGTGAGGTTTGAATCCCCTTGTACACAAAATTGTTGAAAAGTTTCCAAAACTTGTGAACCGGGTCGTTCATCGGTTCAAAAGCCAACGGATTTGACCATTTTTATCAGGTTTTGATTGGGTTTGACTCATTTTGACCTGGTCTTATTATAAACCAAGTTTATGTCATGATTCAAACCAATTTTATAACCGATTTTGATTTAATTGGTTGGATTGATTGGTTCGGTGCAAATTTTAAAACAATGCTTCTTGCAACGATTCCATTTCCTTTTTTAAGTAATTAATAACTAATAATAATTAATACAATAATATATAAATTTGAATAGTGATAATATGATATTTGTAAAATTTAAAAAAGTGTGAAGTTTTATTTGTTTCAACAATATTAGAGCTATTCATGTGAAAAGAGTTAAGCATGAAAAAATAACAATGTCAGTAGAAATGTCCTGAACTCAAATGCATATAAAATCAAACATAGAAAAATTCTCTTTTTTCCCTCTTATGAAATAATGTTATTGCCATACTCTCATCAATTACTAATGCCACACTTTTTTTGTAATATCCCAAAATTTTGGGGTATTTTAGCATTAAATTGGGGACTTATTTGAGGAAAAATATTGTTTTGGGGCTTAATTACAAAATTTTAAAAAGTTGAGGGGCTAAAAAGAAAGGAAATTAGGATAAGGATCAGCTGATATTTTCATTCCTTTTCTTCCCAGCCATACACGTTTCTGCTGTGTCTTCTTCTCGATTCTTCTCCCCCGATAAGCCCCCCAAGCCACC